CTCACCAGAAGCACCTTTAATATCCATATTTCTATCCATATTTCTATCTCCCCCTCTTGCCTTCTGTCTCTCTCTCAAATATAAACACTATTTATTTATTTAAAACAATTTTTTAAATGTTTATTTATTTTTTGAGACAGAGAAAGAGCATGAACGAGGGAGGGTCAGAAAGAGAGGGAGACACAGAATCAGAAGCAGGTTCCAGGCTCTGAGCTGTCAGCACACAGCCCGAAGCGGGGCTCGAACTCACGGACCGTGAGATCATGACCTGAGCCGGAGTCGGATGCTTAACCAACTGAGCCACCCAGGAGCCCCATAAACAAACTTAAAAAAAATTTTTTTTAATTAAAAATACCCTCTTCTGTTATTTATCATTTATCACATAATTTATTAATTCAATGCTATCTTGTTATTTTCTAATCCTTTCAAGCATTATTTTTCAATGAAATTGCAAGTCTTCACATCCATCACTTTCTTAACACAAGGCTAATTCCTAGATGGGTGCCGACTTTGAGCAACCTCGAATTTGAAATGCTTTGGTAAAACATTTCATTAATAATTTTCCTTCTCAAGTTTCTTAATATAAGATCGGGGTAGTCTGGGACACAAGTATTTCCGTTATTTGCATACTCACTAAATTCACTTAACAAAAACTATTGAGCCTTTGGCGATGTTATAGGCTCTTAGTAGAACACAGTCAACCGAACAGAACCTGTGCCTTGCTGGCATTAAACTTGTTACTAGGTGAGGCATGTAATAAGAAGGTAGGCATAGTATAAAGCTAGCTCGCTTCAGTCCCAGGAAAATACAAACACAGACACACAAAGGCATGCACGGCCACACAGAAACTGACGAACAATTAATGAAGTGGATGGGATTCACAAACTATGGAAGGTCTAAATAAATGTTTGAGATTCAAAATGAACTGATGTGACTTGTTGTAAAGTGATGTTTTTATTCCTTCCTAGTTTAAATAATAAAAGTTAGTTGGGGGGGAAGGATAGACTTCCTGGAAATAGAGTCAGATGAGGCAGTATTTCTTTTCCCCCCACTAGTTCCTCACGCTCTGGCTTGATGATACTATTACAAAAATGGCACCTATGTGTTTTTCTTTGGCCAGGTACCTATTTTAAGTACAAGGCAATTCTTTCAAACATCCATACCCTTTAAATAAAATGGTAGATTTTTAAGAAACTTGGTTCTGTTTTTCAGAAACTTGGTTACCTAGTCATACCAAATTTATACCCTTTGTTGTTGTTCTAAAACCAAATGAGTTAAAATCTTTCAACATGTGAGGATTGCAACCTCCTATTATAAATCGTGAATGGGCTGCAGCCTTATCCAAAGCCTTTCTCCCACGAACCACTAAACCCACCAGTTCCCAGCAGAAAGATGTTCAAGGTAAACTGCACGTGTCCAGAAACTTAATCTGGAAAATAATCTGGTGGTTTTTGTCCCAATACCGTACTGTCTTGATGATTACAGCTTTGTAGCAGAAGCTAAGGTCCGGGATTGTGATGCTCTCCACTTTGTTTTTCTTTTCTTTTCTTGCTTCTTTTTTCAACATTACTTTGGCTAGTTGGGGTCTTTGTGGTTCCATATAAATTTTAGGGTTGTTTGTTCTAGCTTTGAGAAGAATGCTGGGGCAATTTTGATTGGGATTGCATTGAATGTGTAGATTCTTTGGGGTAGTATTGACATTTTAACAGTATTTGTTCTCCTGATCCATGAGCATGGAATGTTTTTCCACTTCTTTGTGTCTTGTTCAATTACTTTCATAAGTTTTCTATAGTTTTCAGCATACAGATCTTTTACATCTTTGGTTAGGTTTATTCCTAGGTATTTCATGGTGCTCGGTGCAATTGTAAATGGGAGTGATCTCTTGATTTCTCTTTCTGTTGCTTCATTACTGGTGTATAGAAATGCAGTTGATTTCTGTACATTGATTTTGTATCCTGCGACTTTGCTGAATTCAGGTATCAGTTCTTGCAGCAGCTTTTTTGGTGCAGTCTGTCAGGTTTTCCATGTAGAATATCATGTCATCGGTGAAAATGAAAGTTTGACTTCTTCTTTGCCAATTTGGATGCCTTTTATTTCATTTTGTTGTCTGATTGCTGAGGCTAGGACTTCCAACACTACGTTGAACAACAATGGTGTGAGTGGACATCCCTGTCGTGTTCCCGATCTCAGAAAGAAAACTCTCAGTTTTTCCCCATTGAGGATGATGTTAGCTCTGGGCTTTTCGTATATAGCTTTTGTGTTGTTAAGGTATGTTCTTTCTATCCTGACTTTCTTGAGGGTTTTTATTAGGAAAGGATGCTGTATTTTTGTCAAATGCTTTTTCTGCACCTATTGACAGGATAGTATGATTCTTATCCTTTCTTCTATTAATGCAATGTATCACATTGGTTGATTTGTGAGTATTGAACCAGTCCTGCAGTCCAGGAATGAATCCCATTTGATCATGGTGAATAATTCTTTTCATATACTGTTGAATTTGATTGGCCAGTATCTTGTTGAGAATTTTTGCATCCATGTTCATCAGGGATATTGGCCTGTAATTCTCCTTTTTAGTGGGGTCTCTGTCTGGCTTGGAAATCAATGTAATGCTGGCTTCATAGAATGAGTCCAGAAACTTTCCTTCTGTTACTATTTTTTTGGAACAGCTTGAGAAGAATAAGTATTAACTCTGCTTTAAATGTCTGGTAGAATTCCCCAGGGAAGCCATCTGGCCCAGGACTCTCATTTGTTGGGAGATTTTTGATAACTGATTCAATTTCTTCACTGTTATGGGTCTGTTCAACTTTTCTATTCTTTCTCATTGGAGTTTTTGTAGTGTTTGGGTGTCTAGGATTTTGTCCATTTCTTCCAGGTTGTCCAGTTTGTTGAAATATAATTTTTCATAGTATTCTCTAATAATTGTTTGTATTTCTGTGGTGTTGGTTGTGATCTCTCCTCTTTCATTTGTGATTTTATCTCTTTGGGTCCTCTATCTTTTCTTTTTGAGAAGTCTGGCTACAGGTTAATCAATTTTGTTTAGTTTCTCAAAAAACCAGCTCTTGGATACATTAATCAACTATGGTTTTCTTTTTTTTTTTTTCGTTTTGATTCTATATTGTTTATTTCTGCTCTAATCTTTATTGTTTCTCTTCTTCTGCTGGCTTTGGGTTTTCTTTGTTTTTGTTTTTGTTTTTTTTTTTTTTTTTTTTTTTTTTGCTGTTCTACTTCTCATTCCTGTATGTATGTGGTTCAGTTTTGTACTTGGGATTTTTCTTGTTTCTTGAGATAAGCCTGGAATGCAATGTATTTTCCCCTTAGGACTGCCTTTGCTATATCCCAAAGGGTTTGGACTGTCGTGTTTTCATTTTCATTTGCTTCCATATATTTTTAACTTCTTCTTTAATTTCCTGGTTGACTTATTCATTCTCTAGTAGTTTATTCTTTAACCTCCATGCATTTGAAGGCTTTCCAAATGTTTTCTTCTGGTTAGTTTCAAGTTTCATAGCATTGTGATCTGAAATTATGCATGGCATGACCTCAATTGTTTTATATTTATTGAGGACTGTGTTGTGACCCAGTATGTGATCTGTTTTGGAGAATGGTTTATGTGCACTCGAGAAGAATGTGTATTCTGCTGCTTTTGTATGAAAAGTTCTGAATTTATCTGTCGAGTCCATCTGGTCCAGTGTATCACTCAAGGCCATTGTTCCTTTATTGATTTTCTGCCTAGATGATCTGTCCATTGTTGTAAGTGGAGAATTAAGGTCCCCTGCAATTACCGCATTCTTACCAAAAAGATTGCTTATGTTTGTGATTAATTGATTTATATATTTGGATTCTTTCAAGTTGGGAGCATCAACATTTACAATTGTTAACCCTTCTTGATGGATAGACCCCATAATTATGATATAATGCATTTCTTCATCTCTTGTTACAGTGTTTAGTTTTAAATCTAGTTGTCTGAAATAAATATGGCAACACCAGCTTTCTTTTGACTTCCAGTAGCATGATAGATGGTTCTCCATTCCCTTACTTTCGATCTGAAGGTGTCCTGAGGTCTAAAATGAGTCTCTTGTAGATAGCATATAGATGGATCTAGGTTTTTTTTTTATCCATTCTGATACCCTATGTCTTTTTTAAAATTTTTATTTAATGTTTATTTATTTTTGAGAGAGACAGAGGCAGAGTCTGAGCCAGGGAGGGGCAGAGAGAGAGGGAGGCACAGAATCTGAAGCAGACTCCAGGCTTTAAGGTGTCAACACAGAGCTTGATGCAGGGCTCAAACCCATGAACTGTGAGATCATGACCAGACCCGAAGTTGGATGCTTAACTGACTGAGCTACCCAGGCACCCCTGATACCCTATGTCTTTTGATTGGAGCATTTAGTACATTTACATTCAGAGTTATTATTGAAAGATATGGATTTAGTGCCATTGTGTTATCTGTAGGTTTCATGCTTGCAGTGATGTCTCTGGTCCCTTCAGCATTCTACTCACAGAGTGCCCCTTAGGATCTCTTGTGAGGTTGGCTTAGTGGTCATGAACTCCTTCAGTTTTTGTTTGTCTGGGAAAGCCTTTATCTCTCCCTCTATTCTGAATGAAAGTTTTGCTGGAGAATTAATTCTTGGCTGCATATTTTTCCTATTCAGCACATTGAATATTTCCTGCCATTCCCTTCTGGCCTGGCAAATTTCAGTGGACAGGTCTGTTACACCCTTATGCATCTACCCTTGTAGGTTAAGGCCTCTTTGTCCCTAGCTGCTTTCAGAATTCTCTATTTATCTTTGTATTTTACCAGTTTCATACGATATGCCATGGAAAAGACCTATTCTTATTAAAACTGAAGGGAGTTCTTTGTGCCTTCTGGATTTGGATATCTGCCTCCTTCCCCAAATTGGGAACGTTCCCAGCTATAATTTGTTCAAGCAAACCTTCTGCCCCTTTCTCTTTCTCTTCTTCTGGAACTCCTATGATATGGATATTATTATGTTTCATTAAATCACTTTGTTCTCTAATTCTCACCTCGTGGTCTAGTATTTTCTCATCTTTCTTTTTCTTAGCTTCATCATTTTCCATAATTATATCTTATATATCACTTATTCTCTCCTATGCTTCCTCCATTCTTGACATCACTGCATCTAGTTTATTTTGCAGTATTTTTTAATTAATCATGACTATTCTTTGGTTCCTTGAGCTCTGTAGCAATAGACTCTCTGCTGTTGACTATGCTTTTCTCAAGCCCAGCTATTAATCTTATGACTATCATTCTGAACTCTTGCTCACATATATTGTTTGTACCTGTTATGAGCAATTCTCTAGCTGCCATTTATTCCTGGAATTTCTTTTGAAGAGAATTCTTCCGTTTCATCATTTGGCTAATTTTCTGTCCCTTAGGTGTTTCAAGAGCTTATTATAGGTCCTGCCTCTATATATTAAAAAGGGGTCATAGCCTGTCCAGGGCCTGGCCCTTCAGGAGGTGTATCTGGAGTGTGTTGCGTGCTCTCTGTTGTTGTGATTCTGGTTGCTTCATCTCCCTACTCGTAGTGGTGATTTGGACCTTCCACCAGGTGTGCTTTGATTTATTTCGCTGAAGTAACCCTGAAAAAAATTTTAAAAATGGGGGTAGGGGTAGAAGAAGCCTTATCCCATACAATGAGAGAAATGACAGGGGTGGAGAAAAAGAAAAGGAAAACAAACAAACAAAATGACCAGGCAGAGAATCAGATAAACTGTATGGCTTAATCCAGAGAGAGAGAGAGAGGAAAATAAAGAAGAAGGAGATATAGAAGAGATGTAAAAAGAATAGATTAAAAATGTCTATGGCCCACCAAGTTGTCCCTGTGGGACTCCGGAGATTTTTCAGACACTCTGTAGCCTGGATTCCTGGAGTTTCCTGTCCTCTGGCCTCAATGCTGTTCTGTTTGAGGGAGAAGGGAACCTCGGGTCCCCTACTTCTCCACCATGCTGACTCTTCCCTCTATTTCCTTATTTGTAAATTATTTGGTGGGGGGCACCTTGGGATTATTTGGGATGGCTCAGTTGGTTAAGTGTCCGACTTCAGCTCAGGTCATGATCTCACAATTCATGGATTCAAGCCCCCAAATCAGGCTCTGTGCTGAGAGCTCAGACCCCGGAGCTTGCTTTGAACTCTTTGTCTCCCTCTCTCTGTCTCTGCCTCTCTCCTGCTCATTCTCTCTCTCTCTGTGTATCTCTAAAAAAATAAAGAAATGTTAAATTGTTTTTTATTTTTTAACCGTTTTATTTCTTTAAGTTCACAGAATAATAAAGTCAGTTAGAGAAAAATGTAGATAAATGTTAAGTTTTTGTTATGTAAATAGTTCAGCACCTGATTTACAGAAAATGAATCTTCAAATGGGTGTGTGGATATTCTTCAATGTGGCTTATTTGTTTCACTTCAGTGTTAACAGACAGATTATCTGGCTCATAGAGTCTTTCTTCTCAATCCACACTTAAAATTAGATAATTAAATAGCTTTTGCTGTATGCAGAAATAGGCAATAACAAGCCATGGAAAGAAATGAGAATACAAAAATTAAATTTCTCACATCATAAAGAACAAATTCAGGGAAAACGTGAGGTTGAGCTCACGGCAGGCTTTGCTCCCAGGTGGGGCTGGGAGAGGGATCCATTTCGCTGGTGATGTCAATTTACACAGAATGGTGTTCTGTAGAGAAACTAATTGAATGAGACCCTCCAGATTTCACTTTGCTTTTTCATAATCCATATAATTTTTATTGCATTGTGCACTGGCCGACACAAGCAGAACATAAATTAGCTTAGTGAGGGGGCATTGTGCACCCATCAGTAAGTTATTCAGTCATATGCGAGTGATATTGCCATCCGACCATTAAGTACTGGGTTGGGAGGGGGAAATGTAAGAGAGAAGAGGCATCTTCTCAATGCACCTACATGGCTCAGCCCTCTTCCATTCCTACCTCACTTTTCCTTCCCTCCTTGACTGTGGGAAGCCTTTGAAAGGGCTGTTATCAGCTATCATTAAACCAGCCACCTGTCTCCTTGGCAACCCTTATCAAGCTGTACCAGCCTGCTCGGGCTGCCAGTGAGTACCTTCAACTCGGCGCTATTGAATAAGGAGCTTCAAATTGTTACCATCTGGTATACCGAAGTCTTATAAAATGTCAGGAGAAGGACCGTATCTTAGGCTGCCTACAGGCTCGGTGGTATAAGAAGCTTGGTGGTGTATTGGAATTCATCATCAGTGAAACAAACAAAAAAAAAAAAAGGTGGGTGGAGGAAAGAAAATTCATTTCAGAGCTGCAGGAAAACCATTCTCATTGATTCCCTTCTCAAACTGATGAATAATTTTATGAAAAATATCTTCTTCCGACGCCGAGCACTACTGATATGCCGTTAGTATTTGTGGTGGTTTCTCTGTACCCACATCTCAGCTTACAATGCACTGTGTCCAGCCACTGAAAGCAAAAGGAAAAGTTCTTTCCTGAAGGTCTCTGACAGTTCAGGGTTTAAGACTGAAGGAGACTCTCCTGACTGCCAGCTGTCCCTAAACCATTTTTCCCTTCTTCTTTTTTTTTTTTTTTGCTACAGCTGTCTACATTTGTTAAGATTTGCAGCCCAACACACACACACACACACACACACACACACACACACACATTCATACACACACAAGGCTCAAGAGTGAGCAGTGACTAATTTAAGCCAATCAGAGTGACTTTATTCTCTCTGCCAGTGATTAGCTTAGGGGGTATCTGTGACTCCATGCTGGTTGATGAGAATGGAAAGGAAGTCAACCAGAAGGCTTCCAAGGGTTTCTTGATCAACAAGAGACCGAGAAAGAAACAGCATGCTGCTTCTATTACTAGAATTGGGGCATCCGCCTCGTTATCATGAAGGTGGTGGCCTCAGCTTGGCATTGAAGGGTGATGTCAAGAACCTACTTCCTGGCGATACCATTGAGCTGTTGAATTAACTCCCTTTGAAGGAGCCCAGCACTGGGACTTCTCTTAAAGTAAGAAAGTAAACTTTATTGTTCATGCTGCTTAGTTTATTTATTTTTAATGTCAGCATCCTAAATAGATCCCAAATTATTCATCCTTCTTATTTTCAGCTCCCAAATTTTGCTGAACACTTCTTTTAGACACCTTGCTTGGGGTGGGGGGGGTGGGGTGGCTGGGTGGGTCAGTCAGTTAAGTGTCAGACTCTTGATTTTGGCTCAGGTCATGATCTCATGGTTTGTGAGTTCAAGCCCCACATCAGGCTCCACGCTAATGGTGTGGAACCTGCTTGGGATTCTCTCTCTCTCTGTCTCTCTCTCTGTCTCTCTCCCTTTAGCACATCACTCTCTCTCTCTCTCTCAAAATAAATAAATACACTTAAAAAAAGAAACCTTGCTTGGAATTAAAAAGCATCAAATACATCCTCACGCATACAGGTGCACCTTGGATTGGACCATTCATCTAAATTAGCTAAAATGCAAATATTTTCTAGGGAAGATGACTCAAGTATCTTTTAGTATCAAGTGGTTTGTCATATTAGATTAAATTTAACTAGTTCCTTAACATAATCTTATCCAGGAAAGAGAAGATTTTCTATAAAGGAAGAGATAGGAAAGAGTAAAGAAACTTGAACTCCACCGGGGCTCTGAGTGATGAAAGAAGAGCCTGAGGGTTATCAGGATATGGAAAAGCAGAAAAACAGGCAAAGCAGGCTTGGAAACTAGGAACAAACAGCGACCTAAGTCTGAGTAATCGTGCAAAGAAAGATGAAGAGTGAAAGAGATCCCAATTCTCACCTCTCTTCCTGAGAAGGTGACAGACGACTATTTAAAGTTGCTAAGTCAGGAAACAAATGTGTAGGCTGGTTATTTCCAGAGTCACGCTTTTTATTCTGACATTTAAGGGACTGCAGGCCAAATCACAGGTCACCCTTACCCCGACACATGCTTGAAAATGAAGTCTAGGAAAAGATACCAAGTAATGCGCAGGATTCTCGGTGTTCTTCCTTTAAAGAGGTAAACCTGATGACCAGACAGGCCCGCCTAGAATATGGCACAGAAAACTACACCCCCCCAGCCCGTAGTTTAGTCTCAAATGTGAACATACTCCAAGGTGATATCACCACATTCACGAAGAAAGAATCGTGGGTGACGTTTGCAGAAGATGGTACAAAATTAATCAAACAAACAAACAAACAAACAAAAAGACAAATTGAGGGGATGTTTAAGAGTGAAAACTTGCAACCAGTAGATAATTAAGTTCTGGACATCGAATGCACAGCATAGTGATTATCGTCATCACTGCTGTATTATAAACTTCAAAGTTGCTAAGAAACAAGGTCTTAATTGTTCTCACCACAAAAAAGAAAGGATAATTATGTGATGTGACAGACGTGTTAGCTAACCCTACTGTGGTAATCATATTGCTATATATAAATATAAATGTATCAAACCAACACCTTGGATGCATTAAACGTACACGGTATTATATGTCAATTGCGTCTCAAGGTTTTTTGTGTTTTTTTGTGGGGTTTTTTTGTTTTGTTTTGTTTTTTTTTTTAATTTTTTTAACGTTTATTTAGTTTTGAGACAGAGAGAGACAGAGTGCAAGTGGGGGAGGGGCAGAGAGAGAGGGAGACACAGAATCCAAAACAGGCTCCAGGCTCCGAGCTGTCAGCACAGAGCCCGACGCAGGGCTCGAACTCATGAACCATGAGATCATGACTTGAGGGGAAGTCGGACGCTTAACTGACTGAGCCACCCAGGCGCCCCAATGTTTTGTTTTGTTTTAAAGCAAACAGGGGAGGAAACACATTTTGGAAAACAGAGACCTTTGAACACTCTCTAATTGGAATACTCAGAAGAATTTAAAACGTCATTTCTTATAAAATGAGAAAAGGATGAAGGTGATACTCAAAGAATTTGTAAAAGCTTTCAAAACTTAAAACTATAACTGCAAAAAGAAACAAAAATTATTTACATTGAAGACTCGAAAAACAAAGGGACAAAATTTTTCAGGATGTAGAAAACACATTTTAAAGGCAAGGAAAGATCCTACGGGGTTAGAAAAAAGACCTATAGGGTCAAACCAGCATGTGTAATATCTGACAATGAATGGTTTTAGAAAAAGAGAACATAGAAATGAGAAGAAATTAGCGAGAAAATAATAGGAAACAATTTCCTAGAACTTAAGAAGCACTATGTTTTGGGGGCACCTGAGTGGCTCAGTCGGTTGAGCGTCCGACTTCGGCTCAGGTCATGATCTCACGGTCTGTGGGTTCCAGCCCCGTGTGGGGAATCTGTGCTGACAGCTCAGAGCCTGGAGCCTGCTTCGGATTCTGTGTCTCCCTCTCTCTCTGCCCCTCCCCTGCTCATGCTCTGTCTCTCTCTGTCTCAGAAATAAATAAACATTAAAAAAAAAAAAGAAGAAGAAGAAGAAACACAATGATTTGCAGTTTCCAAAGAGCAAGACATTTCGAAAACCCTTGCACTTGGAAAACAGCTGCCAGACATTGGATTGGGCAGATGCGGGACTCAGTTGGCAGGTGTCCAGGGAACAGGAAGAGAGTCCGCATGACTCATGTGTTAGAAAATCTTGAGGGTATGATAAGGAACGTGATTCTTTTGTCGAGAAGGAAAATAAGTTAATCAGAAACTATAGATGGATGTCATAGGAAAGGTAAATGTCCGATTAACCTATCAGAGTACAGAGTGACCACCAGGATGGTAACTGAAACAGGAGGACAGAGCTACAGCTTCCATTTAGAAAAGTAACAAAGAGTATAACTAAAGACAGCATCAGTATTACACATTCTTTTTTAAAATTTTTTAAAAAATTTTTCTTTGTTTTTGAGAGAGGAAGAGAGACAAAGCGCGAGTGGGGGAGGGGCAGAGGGAGAGGGAGACACAGGATCCGAAGTGGGCTCCAGATTCCGAGCTGTCAGCACAGAGCCCTACGTGGGGCTCGAACTCACAAACCTGTGAGATCATGAGCTGAGCCCAAGTCAGGAGTCGGAAGCTTAACTGACTGAACCACCTAGGCAACCCTACACATTCTTTTTTTTTTTTTTTTAAGTTTACTTGGGAGGGAGAGAACATGTGCATGCATGGGGGAGGAGGGAGAAGCAGAAAGAGGGAGGGAGAGAGAGAGAGAGGGAGAGAGAAAAAGAATCCCAAGCAGGCTCTGCAATGTCAACGCGGAGCCCCATGCAGGGCTCAAACCCATGAGCTTCGAGATCATGGCCTGAGCCAAGGCCAGGGTCTTAACCGACTGACCCACCCAGGAGTCCCTCATTATTACACATTCCTAAGAGAATTGTGAAACTGAGCCAACCCTCATCTTTCGCTGTGGAAAGGCGTGAGACCGCATATGAACTTGATAAGTCTATCTATAATAGACTTCCCGTTAAACACGGTGAATTAACCACACGCAATTACTTTGTTTCTCCTAGAGATCCCGCTGCAATTATAAACAAAAGAATAAAAAAGAAATCAGTCTCCGGTGACAGGGAGTGTGGGAGAGACAGACCTTCAGTGGAGAACAGGATTATGACTCCCCACGCCAGTTTCCACTGACAACGCATAAGTGGGCAAGGGCCTGCCGCCAGCCTCTGGTAGGGATGCAGAGGAACCCTTCTCTAGAAAGCTCTAGTGGCCTCAAAGAAAAGAGTTCCAAATCCTGGCATTTCTGGGTCACCCAGCAGATGGGCCGGATGACTCCTGTTCATCAGAGAGTGCAGCTGTCCAGGCCACACGCCGACTTCATGGTCGGTTCTCTAGCATCCGTGTGTTTGTTCCTTTGCTTTGTAATATGTGATGCACAAAAGAAAATGCGATACGCACGCAAGTTCTGAAGCATCACAACAAAACAAACACCAGGGAAACCTCAAGCCGCCGTGAGAGCGAAATAGAATAGGAGTTGCAGCTAACGTGCGAACTCTCTGTGATTTTCTTTTCTGTATCACACTGACCCTTTAACTCATAGTTTATCACAATCCTGGGTTGTATAGTCATCCTTTAAAAAATATATATATGTATATAGCTTTACCCCATGCCTATTATCTGCTGGAGTACATTGCTTCGTTTTTCTTGGTTTGGGACTTTATAATAACGATATTCTGAATTCTGTTTTTAAGGATTCAAACATATACTTATATGTTTTATATTTATATGTTTATATTTACCTCCTATATTTATGAGATTTTTCTGGAAAAGACCGGATAGTAAATATTTTAGCCTTTGGGAGGCCTGCGATCCTGGTCGAAACTACCGAACCCTGCCGTTTTAGTAGGAAGTGTTTGTTTTTTACCAAAACAGGCGGGAGGCAAGATTTGGTGTCCAGGAGGAAGACACCTGTGGGCAGGATGCTAGCTTTGTCGAATATAGTGTTACCAGACACGGTCTAGCAGGAGCTCAATAAATGTATATTATTTTGTAGGGGTGCCTGGGCGGCTCAGTTAAGCGTCCGACTTCGGCTCAGGTCATGATCTCACGGTTTGTGGGTTCGAGCCCCGGTCGGGCTCTAGGCTGATAGCTCAGAGCCTGGAGCCTGCTTCGGATTCTGTGTCTCCCTCTCTCTCTGCCCCTCCCTCGCTCACACTCTGACTCGCTCCCTCTCAAAAATGAATGACCATTAAAGAAAAAAAAAAAGGTTGCTTTGCTCTCAAGTACTTTTCCGGCTTCTTATTTCCTTTCTTTGTGAAACATGCCTTCATATCCTCCGTTTTCCCATCCAGTCTGTGTTTTAATCCCGTGTAACAAAGATTAACAGACGCCCAGAGGTCAAAGTGGGTTCCTACCCACTGGCAGATACTTGGGTGAGACCGGGTTGATCAGTTTGCCTACAGAGACGTGTCGGTCGAGAGTCGATCCCTGATTGACTAAGCGGCAGAAGCTCGGGACCTCACTGATTGGTTGGCTTGCAAAAGCCACTTTGTGTCGGAAAAGCCAAAACAGGTGTCATACTGGTTCTTCTGCAACTCACTACTATGGGAAGAGTACAATCAGGGATGATCCCTGAGTTTGTGGGACCTTTTAAAATGTTCACATACTATATACGTATGACAAATATGCTTTTTTTCCTGTTTTTATTTATGTTTTAACTCGAATGAGGGTTTTGGTCATAAGACAGTTTTCCCTTTTATGTGGACAAAGTGATTAGGTTTCCTTTCAGTTGTTTGCTTTCATGTCACGTTTCCTTGACCTTCCTCCGTCGCCATAGTTATTGAAAAACATCTATTTTCTTCTGGAGTAGTCACCGTGTGTTAAAATTTAAATCATTAAAATGAAGTGGTCAATCCATCTGGAAGTAGATTTTGGTAAAGGTGTTAAGAGTGGTTGCACTTGTTATTTAAAAATGAGCTGCGGGGCACCTGGAGGCCTTAGTTAAGCATCCAACTTGGGTCAGGTCACGATCTCACGGTTCACGGGTCCGAGCCCTACATCAGACTTTGTGCGGACCGCTCAGAGCCTGGAGCCTGCTTGGGATTCTGTGTCTCCCTCTCTCTCTGCCCCTCCCCTGCTTGTGCTCTGTCTCTCTCTCTCTCTCTCTCTCTCTCTCTCTCTCAAAAATAAATAAAACATTTTTAAGAATTCAAAATGAGTTGCCAATTTTTCAATTGCCTTTTATTGGATAACTTCTAGTTTCTCCATATATTTGAAGGATACAAGTTTACAAGATTCTGAAATATGCACATATACGAATATACGTGTGCAGGTGTGTTTGTGTGTGTATTGTGCATGCACGTGTGTGTAGTTGATCTAGAATCTTTATTTTCTTGTAAAAGTGCCATATTTTCAGTTACAATAGCTTTATAATATGTTTGAATAACTCCATCTTATTTTTTCAAGACTGTCTAGCTACTACTGACCATTTATTCTATATGAAATTTTAAATCTTCTCAGCAGCTTCCTCTCTCCTTCCAAAAGATATGATCTGTGTTTTTACTGTAAATGCCTTTAATTCATGCTTCTTTGGGGAAGGGGGTCCTGCCGTTTTTACCATATTGTCTTCCCATCTGGAAAGATGTTAGTTTCTCAAGTTACTCAAATCTTTTGTTTTTCTAACCAAAGTTAAGCTTAGGGAGGTATAAACCTTCCTGACAATTTTTTTTTTTGCAAACACAAAACCCTCACTTACCGGAAAAAAATTACATGTGCACAAACATAACATTTTGAATAATATTTCTGAGAAATAAAGTTTGGAAAATCCATCTGTTAAAAAAATCCATCCATTAAACAATGGATTTTTATATTTTTATAAGATTTTATTCTTCTTATGGCATCTGCCACTTTCTATTAATATTTTCCACGTGGTGAGCATTGAGATGATAATATTATTATTGTGTTCAAACACGTCGTGACATGGTGGTCAAGAGGATGGCCTTTGGGGGTGGCTCAGTGGGTTGAGCACCCTACTTTGGCTCGGCTCATGATCTCATGGTTCCTGGGTTCAGGCCAAAAAATTAATGACCCTCATTGGATCTCCATTTCCTTACCGTTCATATGATGATGGTAAAGGTCATCTACGTTGGAACAGGCCTTGCCAACACTACAGTGCTGTGTAAGTGTTAGTTTTCATTCTTATAAATAGAACTGTTTTCAAATTAGTTAACTGCATCTGACGCCTTTCTTGTCTTTCATCTTTAACAGCTGTAAAGTTTAATCTCTCTTAAATCTTATAAGTAGTGTGTATCACCTGCAAATAATAGTAGCTATCTTGGTTTTCCCTTTTTAATGTTTATGCCTTTTGTTTATTCTTCTTGTTGCTTTGCATTGGCTAAAATTCGCGGGAAAAAAAAAAATCAATGGCAGTAGACGTCTTATTCTCGTCATAATGGATAAGGCCCCAGTGTTGTCCTATTAAATATGGGTGTAGCTGATGGTTTTTGATCGTGATAAGAGAATATCCTGCCGTTCCAAAAAAAAATCAAGGATTTTATTTTTAGCCCTAAAGGTAACTTTAATTAATAACTTTTTTGGGCATTTCTTGAATAACCATAATATTACTCTCCTTAAAATACTGTTACGGAGAGTTATACTAGTTGATTTCTAAACGCTGGTCTTATAAAAATTAGACTAGTATGGTATATAATACTCCTACTAAGAGTTAGACTTATTTTATTAATCTAGTAGGTACAATCAGAGTCCATAATCTCAGATGCCATTTTTTTATAAGTCGGCGTTCATTTTGACTCCAAATCCTCATGCTGGCAGACCCGACCATTTGAGGGCTCATCATACCTCCTCCAAACGTGTCAAGGTTCCACTGCCTAAGGATGAGCCAACAGTCACAGATTGTCTGTCCACACAGGTTATAGTCAGGCACCCACTAACCCATGATCATTTCTGAGGCTCTCTGCCTCTGCCATATCCCTCTTGGGACTTCAGAGCATTTGCAAGCTGAGAACATCAGATCGGTGGTCCCGTCTCTGTAGCTTCTACCCCTTGAATATATTTCTCTCTGGATCATCGTCAGGCAACAGGAGTTTATGATCCGTTAATCCCACTGCCTGGGTTTTGAGCAACCAGACTTCCCGTTTCTGCTCGGCTTCAGTTCCCTCCGATCGGTGCTGGAACAGGTTTATAAGTCATCATTTTAGAAGGGCAGAGAAAGGGCAAAGAGAAAAATACTACGTTTCCATCCTTAACCAGTCTAAATGTGTGTATCTTCACTCACCAATATTTTATTTAGAATTTTTACATTCGTATTCGTTAGTGAGAGTTGGCCATAATGTTTTTGGTCTATCTTCAGCAGATTTTAATGCACAGGTCCTAAATAAATTTGGAAGCTTTAAATCATTTCCTATACCCTGGGACACATTGAGGAAAATCAGAATTATCTATTCCTTGAGGTTTGATGGAATTTACCATCTGTACATGGAGAATATTTTAGTATAGCTCTATGACAGATTTTAATTTTTTTCATGATTATTATTCTCCAGATTCCAGTTTTGTTAATATTCCTTTTCATGTCCATTTTAATAAAATATGTAGCTCTATTGGTATGTGGAAGCTAGTGGTCACTTGTGACCTCCAGATCTTTTCCCGCTAGTGCATTACGACTTTTCTAGCAAATGCTTTCTTATCCCCTCTGATCCCCTGGCTTAGGTAACTATTAATAGCTAATTAAATCGGTTTATGATTCCTGTACATGCAGCCAAATGTGTGTTATCACGTCTTTTAATTATCCCTAGGACCACTTCAAATGCAATTTGTTGAACGTTTATCCTTTTTAAGAAAGAAAAGCGATCGGGCATATTTAGAGCTGAAAAACTGTATACACGGCCCACATCAGAGAGCTGGAATTGGCAGTCCTATAGGAATTCCCTCTAAAACAATGCTATGATTTAAGTGAAAGTAGTGACATTACTCAGCTGCACATTGCTGCCAGATTTTTAAATAATGAAATGTAAAATAATGAAAAGCACTCAGAAATGAAACTGGGTACGAAGCCCAGAAATTGGATTCGCTACTCCGAGTTCTAAAAATCCTATTAAATATTTCATTCTCCCACTTTATGAAATACTTCTGCAACAGATTTAAAGCCTGGGGAAGAGCTCAAACAACCAGACATGATGTGGAGTTTTACAGTTACCAGGAAATAAATTGTCTGTGCATCACTGGTATTCTTTGTTTTCATTAGGCGACACATTTCTCATTATTTTCAGCTTAGATATATGGTCTGGGGTTGTTCAAATTCCTCGAGTAGAATGCAGTTACATTCATTTGTGGGAAAATTATTAGTTAAATGTAAAAAAAATTATCTAAAATACTGTTGTGATGAGTGAGATATATATATATGTATATATATGTATATATACATTCGTATATATATATTCAAATTGGAGTATTTTATATACTGCACAACAGAATTGATGAAAATTTCCTTAAGATTTCTCTCTTCCAAGAAAATCAGGGACGCCTGGGTGGCTCAGTTGTTGCCGTGTCCAATTCTTGGTTTCGGCTTGGGTCACGATTTCATGGTTTGAGGGTTCCAGCCCCACATTGGTCTCCGTGCTGTTGGTGCAGAGCCTGCTTGGGATTCTCTCTCTCTCCCTCTCTCTCTGCACCTCTCCCACCCATTCCCTCTCTCTCTCTCTCTCTCTCTCTCTCTCTCTCTCAAAAATAAATAAATAAACTTAAAAAAAATTACAAAAAGAAATCAACACATGCATTGGGAGATGAGATTAAGAGTGGAGAGAATTATCCAGAAAACTGACCCCGTTTCATTCAACCAGTGGTGACCACATTGCAATTAGTAAAATGGTCTTTTCCACAGATGAGCCACTCATACCATCACAGAAACTGTTGTAAATAATACAATGAACATCTTTTATATGAATTTTATCATAATATTTTATTTAAAAAAATAAAAGCTTTAGAGGTAGAACCTTTGGATCAATGCGCGTAACCTTTTTTCTGGGTTGATGTTGATAAGGTTATTCTAATCATCTCTATTTGTACCTAGTTTTCTTACATGATTTTTTTTTTCATTTCTGAGATGAAAATATGAAAACCTACCCCTGTGTTAATGACTTTACCAAATTCTCCTGATATTTCTCAAGGTGTTTATACAATTATTTCACTACGATGTCATTTGATGCATAGAGGTTCATGAATTTAACTCCTTGCCAATTTGAATCTTTTCTCATCAAAAATCTCTCTCTCCGTTTCAGTGATACTTTGTGTTTCTGCTTCTTCGCGGGCTGCAATTGTCAAACATATTAATTTGCTCTTTTATTTTCTTTAAGGCTTATTGTAAAAAGCATGTTAATTAGATTTTGTTTTTACATCAAATCTGAGCGCAATTATCTTTAAAAATGACTCAATTTGTTCCCATCAATTGTAATTAACGTTGTGTTCAGTCTTACTTCATTCCTATTCCATGATGTTTATTTTTAATTTCTTACTGGCTCTTTTTTCTTCTTTCTCTGCTGGATTGATAAAGTTCTTTCTTTTTTCCACTCTGATAATTTGGAGTTTTCATTATATATGTTGTTCCAAGGGCTTGCCTTTGTATGCATAGTCATATTTAAACCTACATTTCTTGGGGCGCCTGGATGGCTCAGTCGATTGAGCGTCCGACTACGGCTCAGGTCATGATCTCACAGTTTGTGAGTTCGAGCCCTGCGTCGGGCTCTGTGCTGACAACTCGGAGCCTGGAACCTGCTTCGGATTCTGTGTCTCCTTCTCTCTCTGCCCCTCCACCACTTGTGCTCTGTCTCTGTCTATCAAAAAAATAAATCTAAAAAAAAAAATTTAAACCTACATTTCTTTACATTGAATAATAACTCACCTCCTTTCTCCCCAACCACGAAAAAAACCCCAGTTTTTTCCTTACCTGATTTGTACCAAATATTTGTGCCCTCACCCACCTTATGTGATGGTAGTATGAGGTGGGGGCTCTGGGAGGTAATTTGGATTAGATGAGGTCTTGGTCCTTACCAGAGTCATGACAGAGCTTGCTTTCTCTCTGCTGTTTACCACGGGAGGCCACAAGGAGACTGCAGTCTGCAGCACAGAAGAGGGAATCTCACCAGAGCCTAATCAGGATGGCACTCTATCTCACACTTCCAGTCCCCAGAACTGTGAAGCCAGTTTGTGTGGTTTATAAGTTATCCAGTCTGTGGTATTAAAAAAAATTTTTTTAAATGTTTATTCATTTTTGAGAGCGAGAGAG